CATCCACCCACACAACTTACACACACACGGGGGCAACCTTTCCCCTTCGTGCCCTCTCCCTTCCCCACCCAACCCCGGGCCCCCTTCCCCTTCGCACTCATTGATGTCAGATATTGCGCCCCCCCCCTATCCTTTGTCTTCCAAACCCCACATGCTCACCTTATCCGGCGATATGTCCAGTGCCGTCACCTCCGCGCCCATCTTACTCGCAAACTGAAGCGCCAGGTGCCCCAGTCCCCCCACACCCAGCACACCCACAGAGGCTCCCGGCCGGTCGATGTGGCGTCTGGGAGTGTGGCGCCGGGATGTTGAGGGAAAAGGTTAAAACCCTAAAACCCTAAGAAATGGGAAATGCGGTAAAGCTGCGGGAAGGGATTCCCGGAGGGTTTCGGGTTTTGTTGCCCCTCCCCATCCCCACACTCCCCCTCCTTTCCCCTCCCCCCCTTCCTCCCCCCCTCTCTCCCCCCCCCCCACACACACACACATGACCCACCTCAAGGGCGCATACACAGTCACTCCAGCACACAGCAGCGGCGCAGCGGAAGCGGAATCCAGACCCTCCGGAATGCCGTACACGAAGTCCGCGGATGCGCGGCAAATTTCTTGAAAGCCGCCGTGGCTGCCTTTTTCGGTTATTTTTTTTTGGGTGGTGTGGTAGTGCGGCGGGAATTTTCCCGCGTAAAGGAAGCGTTTCGAGGCCAGGAGGTGATAATACTACTAGTAATAATAATTTAATTGTCGTGCCGTTCCTTAAATCCAGAACCTGCGGATTTCAGCCAGCTGATTGGAGGATCGGGTCCGCCTCAACATCACATCTGTAGCAGAGGAGGAGCTAAAACCTGCTGGACCAAAAAGCTTCACAACGGCTTTCTAAAACATGTCGATTAATAATATTTCCTTAAACATTATCTCTAATATTAGCTATCCCTTAATTATTAATCATGAGTAACTACATTATGTTTCTTATGAATTGAACAAAATTGTTCTCATGAATTTTTTATTGACAAGTGAAGAAAACATAAAACACCTAAACCCCCCCAGCACAACCCACACACCCTCGTTCCCCCCCACCCTACCTACCAGCCACAATGAGCCCCTTGTAGCCTTTCACACACACATTCTCCTCGCCCCGCAAACAGGCCAGGCAGCGGCGGCATGAGTTGGCAATCCATCCAAGACCCACACGATCACCGGGCCGCAGGGAGTCAACCGATTCGCCAACCGCCACAACCTCCCCAACCACCTCCGATCGACAGTTGGTGGTTGGACGAGTACACAAAAAGGGAAAAATATTAAGAAATTAGGAAAAAAAATGAAGAGAAGGTCAAATCAATAATAAATCATGAGTGGAAGAGTGAAAGAGATGTACAACAGCAGCTTGACAGTCCAAAGTAGATGAACAGCCCGGGTGTTCGACATTACTAATGGGAGCGCCTCCAGGTCGCTAGTGTACGGCAAGCTGGACTTGGTTTAGGAGCTGTCTCCTGGGGGAGAGTCTCTCCCCGTCCCCCCCTCTGTTCGCCCTCCCTTTCCCCCCTTCCGCACCCCCGTCATCCTCACCATTACCTGCGCCCCCCCCTTCCTCTCTGCCTCCATCCCCCCCCCCCGTCCTCCCTCTCCCCCAGCTGCTAAGTGCCCCAAGCTGCCCAGTTGGCCTCCTTCCCACATACCTTGGATTTTTGCGTTCCTTTTCCTGCGTCGGACCGCATCCAGTCAGGTCTTCATCCCCCTTCTATCCCCCCTAAAGCTGCCTTCCCTTTCCTGCCTTTTTCCCTCCCAAACACAACCCCACTCCCTTGTCCCACACGAAAAAGAACTTTCGCTGATAACACTTAAATGAACCCAATGTCCCATCGGTCGTGAGTTGACAACCGTGCCGTACCGGCCTTTTTTCCGCGGCATGCATGTCATGCCTTGCCGTACAGCCCCATACACACACGTACGCACACCCGCCTACCTCATGGCCCGGTATGAAGGGGAACTTGGAGACACCCCAGTCGTTGTCCTGTGAATGGGCCGGGCGGGCGGGTGGGTGTTTCAGCGAGGGAGGAGGGGCAGGGGAAGGAGGAGGAGGAGGAGGAGGGGGGCCAGGGGAAGGAGGAGGAGGAGGGGGGGGGGCCAAAGGGGAGGAAGGGGGGAAAGACGAATCATGAGCGAGTGAAGCTGCTGCCAAGGAAAGAGTGCTGCGGAGTGGGGCAGGGGGGTAGGGGGGCAGGGGGGGCAGGGGGGGGTTAGCACGACTCAGGAACGGAGTGCTTCGTGCCCACGTGGGACGACACACACATACACACGCACACATACACACACATGCACACACACACGCACACATACACATACACAAACATGCACACACACACATACACAAACATGCACACACACACACACGCGCGCGCACTTACTCGCATGCTCAAGTCGGTATGACAAAGGCCGTTGTGTGTCACCCGGACGTCCACCTCTCGAGGGCCCAGCTCGCCAACGGAATGGCTCCAGGGAGACAGCTCGGACTGTGTACGGACACGAACGACACCGTACGAGCCAGTTTCACAACATGCCAGACGAACAAGGGAGACGGGAGAAATTTACACACAAAGCTGCGCGCCATGAACTTCGTATTCCTGTTTTGCTTAGGACCTTGTCGCGGTAGGTTTTCTGAGTGAAAATCGAGAGAAAAGAAAACCAAGGTTTAACCAAGGCGTATTTGCAATAAAAAGACTTTCTCGGCAAGTATTCTGAGTATTTGCCGAGAGCGTACTCGGTTGAATGTCGTTGGTGCGTACGGCTGGGCCGTACAGGGCTGGAATAAGTCGCAGGAGTAGTGCGAATATAACTTTACGAGTTCATAGTGTCAGAGAGTACTGACAAGTTTCCGCTGCGGCTTCTGCCCTACTCTATACTACAGCGTACAGCACCAGGGTCGGTTCGGTAGCCAGGCTCACCCTCCACCTCCCACGGAAACAAGCACAACTTTCCTGTCTACAGGTAGCCCTCCGTCTGGACGACCCCTAAGCGGTACGGCAACTACTCAAAAAAGTTATCACAAAAGCCACAAATAACATATAATAATATAACATACAATAATAATTATTATTATTATACTAATAATATAAAAAATGATAATATAATAAAAATAAAATAATAAAAATATAATAATAATAATAATAATAATAATAATAATAATAATAATAATAATAACAATGATAATAATAAGATGGCCACGTTCAAAAATGCATTTCCGGAATGTAGTGCATATTTGAGACTTGCATCTCAAAGTCTCAGCTCCGAAGCCCCTGTGCACCTTCTTGTCAAGCACAGCCCAGCCGCGGCGGCTGAGTCGCTGCGCCTGCCCCATCCGAAACGCCTCCCCTTGCTTCAGCATTCCCGCTTGTAACTCCGGTTTCTCCTCCTTCTCCCGGAACGCAAGCGGCCTAGCTGCAGCCGCCGCGGTGCGGCGACAGCGGCAGTAGCTGCAACTCGAAGGAAAAACGGTTTTGCTGCCAACCGCACCAAAGCGGCCGTAGTTGGGGGTCTGACGGGAGCCGCGGCTCGTAGGACGTTTGATTACGGTCCCATGGGTCGGTGCTGAGGCCGAAGCCGAGATGGTGACGGTTACGCCACGAGGGCCCATTTCACAAGTTTGTTGGATGTGTGGAACCTTCCCTGTTCCCGACTTCTTTGTTAACTTTAAGCGTTGGTTCGTTGAAAAAAATTTAGTTCGTTGTGATATCTGGTTCGTTGCGTGCTTGAGCAGTCGACCTATTTTATGGCGGTACGTGCAACGCCTGGTGCTGAAGAGTTCCGGCTATGAAAGAAAGAATATTTTACATGTACGGCAGCGAAAAATCGAATGCAGAGTACGAACGCATATACGATGCAGCGGCGGTGCTGAAGTCACCACGGTTCCCATGTGATGAGATGCGAAGTGTTCAGGCTATGGGCTCACCGCGATTTTTTTGCGTTCTTATAATTAAAAGGGGGAAACGTCGCTCTGCAACCAGAGTGTAAAAGCTTTCCCACAAGCGAATTTGTATGTCACACGTCCTCTGTGAAGCACATCACCTCTACGTGGCAGGAATTGTGGGATGGCGAACCGGTACTGCAAAAAACGAGTTTGCGAGGTCGCGAAATCGCTCTTGGACCTGAATCGGTCCCAGGGCAAACGCTCCGGGCGCTTCGGATCGTAACTACCGAAACTCCCGCCGAAAACAGAAACATAGAGTTTCCTAAGCCGACCTGCTTTTGCAGGGATATAGGACCATCCGCCATCCTGCCATCACGTACGAAATCTCCTCTGCGGTCCCCGAAGGGCTACTGACCGACGTGTGACGGTCAACGTCCGGAATGTCTGCAGTGACTCGGACTGCGACAGATGCTGCGCGAGAGGGACACAGCGCGGACAACAAAAAGAGACAAAAGCTGGCCAAAAGTGGCCCGCACGCGCGCCTCTCCAAGCTCACCATGCAAGGCCTCCATGCGCTGCTGAGTGGCCTTCCTCACCTGCTGCTGCTGCTGCTGCTGCTGATGCTGATGCACGGGTGTCTGCTCGCCACGCACAAGGCCTACATGCGCTGCCGAGTTGCCTCTTTCAATGCCGCCTCGTCCTGAGCTTCTGACGGCTGCTAGGTGATAAAAGCAGCGAACCGCCCGAGTCCTTGCAACCAGCCACTGCGTGTGCATTAGTAGTGGAAGAGCCTCCGGTCACACCACGGAGGGCCCCCACACAGTGCACACATCTGTCGGGCGCTGGGCCAGCGCTGGGCCTCGCCTGCCTGCCATGGAAAAGCTGTCAAATCGGCTATGCTAAGAAGGTGCTGGACATTGCGGCTGAAGTATGGCAGTGCCATATGGCACTTGAAGGTCGCGACAGACAGACAGCAGATGTAAGCTGCAACGAAGAAGCCGTCCCAAATCCCAAAAACCAACCATAGGGCATTCATGAGGCCGGCACCTTCCGTTTGCGCTACCGAGTTTGCCTGGATTTTGAACAGGCGACTTCTCTGAACATCTTGTCTGTGTCCTAACCTTCAAAACCACGCTTGGCCAGAAATTGCAAAGGTGCTCGCGCACGAATCAACACACGAACACACGTGGTCCTCCCTGTTCTGCCCGTAGCCCTCAGAAAGTGAGAACAAGAAGAAACTCAGAAACACTGACGTGTTTCTGACTTTCTTATACTTGGTCTCACTTTCTTCGGGAACGTGTTTCTGACTTTCCTATACTTGCTCTCAGTTTCTTCGGGAATATGTGTCGCAGTTAAAATAAAATCACATAACAGGAACTTCACTGTCATACACATACAATGATTTTGGTCCACCATCGCCGGCATGCTGGCACGATTGTACATCGGGACAGGTATGTGAGGCGGCAGGGGCCAGCAGCTTCACCTCTGGCGACATCGTCAAATCCGCCTTGACCCTTTTTGCACATACAACAGCAGCCTCTCCCCGTTTCCTACAGCTATGAATAGGGGATTGGTTGTGAAAGGAAACCAGGCCGCTCCTACATTACAGGTTGGCACTGAATCTGTTCAGGAGAATATCACACATTTTCTGCATCATGAATGAAGCCCTACATTTCCGAACGACTTGGCGAGGAAATATAGTGAGAATGCTTTTCATTTAAAGCAGCGATAAAAGATGCGAGAAAATGTATTCATTCAAGATTTGTTGAACGTTGCGTTGCGTTTTAGATGTGAAAGCCACAACCGAGCCTTGAACACCTGTGATAGGCCATATGTGCGCTCTAAACCTTACCGTATTTACTGAGTGTAAGCAACAAAGATGTGGACGCTACGGCGAACCGGTTGCGTTGTGGGCCAGGAGAACAGCTTGCAAGCCCTTGGCGACGACAGGCATACATGGCCAAGCTAGACATCGAAGTTATTTGACTATAAAATTAAGGCTTGCAGCGCTAAATGAGCAACCGTTGCAGGAGCCTTCCTCACCGGTTGCGCGTGCAATCCCGGCCATAGCCCTTGCACCCGGAGCTCTGGCTTTGCTGAGTGTTGCTCTCCGCGGCACCAGCGAAGTAGCTTGCATTCAAGCAAATACAATCGCAGCTCTGGCGGCAGCTTTGGCATTTCTAGTTTATTTCTGCACAACGTTGACCGAGCATGGACACGTCTGGGTATCACGCCTGGCGCTATCATTGCGCCCCGCCCAAGACCAGATCCTGCTAGGGTGCGGCCTTGCAGCCACAGCCCAATTGTGTACAGCAGCCTGGCTGTGTCTCTCTTATCCGGTGTACAGCGAAGGCGTGCTGATCCCTCTGTACGGTGCTGGATATGCCAGCCTCGCTATTCTTGTGGCCAGCCAGAGGGGCAGGCGGCTAAGAGGCCGCAAGAAACTTGAGATCGAGGTGATTTGCGACGTGTGTCGGGGGAGATCCTGCGATAAGACCAAGTGGCATTTGCACCTCCGAAAAGAGAAATGCAGCTTTAAGGCGGACTGTGCGTGTGCATATGGCAGGTACCCACAGTCTGTAGGCACTGAAATGCCAGCGCCTCTTCCCCGTGCATTTAAGCGTCTTCAGCCACAAAAAATGTTATTCCTGGCCCACCGTTTAGTACCGAGGCTACCGTGTTTGGACCTTACAAGAGCTCCCTTTCGGGAATCTCACAGCGCATGCTGTCAGGTGGTCCGGAGGCCCCGGATGGCCGAGCTAAGTTATGGCTGAAACCTCAAGGCCTTCTCCAACGACGCACCCACCCACTTATCCCACTTGGCTATTTTGGCCGTTCCACCTGCCCGCCATCCCGTTACTTCATATCCAACAAATTTTATGTAATTTTTAATTTGTCTAAAAACGTTCCCCGGCATGTTTCGCAGGCTGGTGAGGGTGAGCGGCACTCCGTCATGGCCCAGGGCTCCCGAATCGCCGCCCGTAACTACACCTGGCTCGTTTTGTTGCTACATCTCATGTTACAGACCGTGTCGGAGGTGGCTGCAGCTGTAGCAGGTACTACTGCCGCCGCAGGGGGGCGTGGGTCGCTGTTGCTGCTGCTGCCGGGCGCCATGGCAGCAGTAGCGTACGGCATACTGGCTGTACTGTATGGTGTCGCTGGAGCCTGCAAGTTCCTGCCGTCTTCACAGCTGATGGGGGAGAAGGGCAGCGCCGTGGTGTCGTCATGATAAGGCCCATGTGCTGCGGTCCTAAAATTCGTGCCAGATTGCTCATCAGCGGGCAGAGCGTTTCTGGCAAGCCCTGAACGCAAAGGTTGTCTTACGGTGGGCGTATCAGCCTTAGCAGGTACTGGGGCATTAATGATATTTTATGTCTTCGGTTTCGGAGGAACGGGGTTGTAAGCATAAAAACTCATTGCAGTGTTTTGACCACGGACTTGAAAGTAAGACTACGCAATCAAAACGTTTGCATGTAACAAACCCATTATATAGCAGTATAAGACGGGAAGTGCACCGCAATTGAGCAATTGAGGTATGGTCTTAGGTGTCCCAGTGGTGCAGTGTACGGCAGTCCGTTGTGGCCCGATGGGCCTAACCTGAGGTTTTCCCTTGGGGTCTGGGTCTGGGGATAGTTGTAATACTAATACCTAGTATTTACTGATCGGAAATTCTGCATCTGATTTGTGGCGAGACAAACTAAGGTAGAGAGCCTGAGTAAAGCGGCAGAGGCTTCGACTTAAGTCAACAGGTTTGACGTCCTTGACAAGCCAAAGGTACACCTTACAAAACGCGGGGAAGGTCCTCTCAGATCCGTAGATACAAAAAATCCATCCCAAACCACGAAAAACACACAGACATCGCTTCCGCTACATCGCTGTTTTGTGTCCCGCTTACAAATTATAAAGTCGGGATTTATGGTGCTTATGCACTCAGTCCTTTTGGCCGCACAGCAAGTCAAGGGCTTATTGATGGCGGAAATCTATCTGGATAGACAACTCGCAACTAGCTGGCCATCTATCGCAATGCCACAAGTCATTATGTACGGGCTCAACAACAATGACGCGGCTGGGTCCTAACAGCCGAGAATTACGGGAAGATTCAGGACCGATAATGTTGATGCCTGTAACGCACACGGCCAAAAACACGGAGCAAGAACAAATAGGCACACCCATGCACCCACAACCCGGTCCCCGACTGCTCCAACCAGAAGGGGCCCTGCGACAGGCGAACAGCCCGACAAACAATGGTCGCACACGTACATAAACATGCTGGTGCAAGTGTGCACCTTTTATGGTGCTGCGTTTCAGCGTAAGAAAAATGAACAGAGATAAAAAAATGAAAATGCAGCCGCGATGTATGCGTACATACACCTGTTGTGTTATGTACGCAGTGCGCTGTAATGTCGCCGTTCACACTACTAAATGCTACATCTTTTTTTCCGCACCGTTGCCATACCGTCCGCAAAACAGGAATGAGATTAAGCGTGACTAACCGTTACACAACTGCCGGCGGCCACAGTCACAGCGGGGGTACTTGCAAGTAGAAAGAGTGAGTGCTGTTGCTTCCCTTTTGAGGAGCCACGGGCCTTGGTTCCAATAAAACGCCCTTAGCGCGCCACCACTTAACACATATGAGAAATCGTGGCCTTACTGCGCTTTGTTTGTAACGCCTTCCCTTTACCAGCTCTCCTCACCGCGTTAAATACTATCCTGATATGCACAGGACAGTCAGCGTTGCTTTCCCATGTGTGGGCGGGAGGAAAGGAAAACCGCGGCGCACAGCACCATCAGGCGGACATAGCAACACGGCTGTCCATGTCTTCACACAGGAGGCCCTGTCACCACATGTGCATTCTCCCTGAAGTCCCTAACGTCAATTTCACCAACGGCACCCCAATGGCCCCCCCCCCGGCTTTGACGGACCCCTCCGCATTTGTGCGGACACTGCAGCGCCACATCTGTCGCGGGGGTCCGCGTTGTATCGTTTCACTTGCGTCATTGTCGTCGCCGCCTTTCGGTTCGCATTCGCTTCCGCATAAAGGCAAGAGGAGAGGGATGTAGAGGGAGCGCGAGGGGGGTGTCGGGGCGGGTGTCGGGACGGAAGACGAGAGCCCGAACACACGCCGACACTTCAAGAGCTGCGACCGGACAGCCCATCAAGAAAGCCGCCCTCCCGGGCCGCTCTCGTCCCCGCATTCCCTCCTCTGTCCACGCCTTGCCCACGCCGGGAGCCTCCCTTCCTCCTCCCTTCCCCTCCCTTCCTGTACCGCCTTAACTCCGCCGTCGCAGCGCCCCGGGGCTCCTTTAGCCCCAAATAGTTCTCACTCCCACCTCCTCCTCTCCCTCCATCTTCGCTCTGCTTCCTCTCCCTCTCCCTCCTATTCACGATCATCTGCTTGCAGGCCGGTGGGCTCTATCCCTCCACATACAGCGTCCAGCCCATGACCAGGGATCCCCCCAGGATGCCGCCCGCAAAGTAGCGATCGTTGCGGCAGTTCCGGCCCTCGGGCCACAGCTCAATACCGCACACTGCCAGCTGGAGCCCAGGGACAAGTGAACACGGGAACATGGGAGCGCGAAACAAACCGGGAAAGAAGGGAATACGTATCGTGTCAAGCAAGGGGATTCAGTACAGGGGGAGGAAAGGCAAGGAGATGGGGGGGGGTAATACCGTTATTCGAAATCAAGACGGGTTTGGAAAGCCCTGCCTCCCGATTCCCAACAGCCCATACGTCCTTGAGCACACACGTCGAGCCATGAAGGTTCCCAAGACACCTTGGCTATGCGCTTCCAGAGCCTTCCGATCGCTGAAACCCCCTGTGGAGCTCCGAAACTCCTTCGAAACTCCTAGGGGTACCAGATGCGGCAAGGATACAAATTGGTCAGGGTACACGTGACCCGAACCGCAACTGTAACCGCGATTTGACCCCAGCTCAACTGTTTTACATTGGCCAGGAACGAGAGCGGGTAGGTGGGGAAAGGAGGGTGGGAACGGGAGCGGATCGTCGTTTAGTTCAAATAGCCCAGGGTAGCCGAGTGGCCGGTTGCCGAGGGTTCCCAAACTCATATCCCAAACTCACTGCCCACCCCATCCACGACCCAGGTCTCCCAGCGTTCTCTCCCCCCTCCGTTCCCATCCTATCCTCGCTGCCCCGACCCCTCCCCTTAACCCCCCTTACCATAACTCCCCCAACAAACGCCAACAGGTAGTGCAGACGCTCCTGGGTGAAGAAAGGCTGCAGCAGCAGCAGCGACAGCAGCGCCCCCAACGGCTCCGACAAGCCCTGAGACAGACGGAGTAGACAGACAGACAGACAGACAGGCACGGGGGTGGAGCTGGGAGCAGGAGCAAAACGAAGAGTCCAGACCGGCGGTCCGGTCAGGAGCTGCAGCAGAAGCATCACCAGCAGCAGTGAAACCCGCAGTGAGCACCCGCAGTGATCACCCGCAGGGGAGAACGGGGCCACTTGGGGAGTTTTAGATTCAGAAATCCCATGCAAGGAAATCGCGCTCGGGGGCAGTTGAGACAGCTGGACGCAGCACGAACACAACATCCCCATCCTCCCTGACGTCGCCCCTGGTCAATGTCTCCCGCGGCCTCATCGCATATCGTGGCGTGTCTTTCCCCCCCAAGCTCAGGGGCGCGACCTAGCGCTCGGGTAGAATTAGTTAGTCCATCTGGGCCGCCACCCACCGACGCTGTCGCAACGCCGATGGCTCTCCACCTGCTGCCCGTAGCCGCGTAGATAGGCGCTGCTACGATGACACCCTAAGAAATGCGGCGGCGGCGGAGGAGGACGGAAAGGCGTTATGTGCAAAAAGGCAAAAAGGGAGGAGGTGAGGTACGAAAAAAAGGGGGGGGGGTACCGCTCAGAATTTATTACATAACGAGCAATGCGACTCAGGCAAGGGGGAATTACGTGCAAGGAAAAAAATCAGAAATAAGCTGCCGGCGTCCAGAGGCAGACAGGAGGAAAGTGAGCAAACGGGATGTGAGACGATTTCGGTTCGAGGCGTCAGTTTCCTACTCCTCCACGTTTGTTAGGGTTTAGGGTTTCTATTTGTCCCAGATGCCCTCTTCGTCCAAGATGGAGGTGATCGCGACCGAGTAGGACAGGCTTGGTGGTGGGGAGGAAATGCGGGTGGCTGAAGAGATGCCAGGCACCATTAACCTCTACACCCCCGCCAGCACACACGTCCACGTCTAAGCGGCCCGCCGAGGTACGTACGGCGGGAGAGACCAAGTACGGCCATCAAGGTGCCGTACGGGATCGCGCCTTGGATAGCGTGCCGTACGGGATAGAAGTCCGGCCCGTCCCGACCTTTAACCCGTCACATTTCCACACCCGGTCTCACAACGACATGCATCACCAGGTAAACCACCTTGCCTTCGCCACGCCAGTCCAACCAACAACCGTGCGAACCTCTAGCCGCACAAACCCCTATCAAACATGCAGCCCCCTCTGCATACACGCAAAGCCGCAGCAAGCATGCAAACACCCTGGACGTACAACCTCACCTCTGGGATGTTGTGGAGCGCTATCGCCAGCGCCATGATCGGTCCAAAGTCGGTAAAAGCGGAGAAGGCCACCTGCGACGGCGCGCACGTGTGTCAAGAAGCCGTCAGGGGCTCGCCCGCGAGTTCAGGTCTGGTGTTTCAGAGCAGTGCTAAACAACGAAGGAAAGGCCAAAGGATGGATAGCGGAAAGAATCGAGGTGTTTCGCAAGGATAAACATCCTAATCATGATCATCCTAAGCACCGAGCCACATGTCCTCCCGAACTGCTCCATCTTCCATCTTCATCCATCTTCCAGCCCCCTCGCCATTTCCCCCTTACATCCCGTGCCCTCCCTAAACCCCTAACAGCCCTCCCATGTAGCCTCGTCCTCCTCCTACCCCTCTTCGCCCAGCCCCTTACCTACCTAGCATCCGCGAGCCCTCTATCCATCCATCCTCCCACCCACCCGCCATCCCCTCGTCCCCCCCCCCCACCGCCCGCCTCCAAGCCACATAAACTCCAAAAGAGGAGAAAGTCTGGCATAACTGGGCTCAAATCGGGGTGAAGAAGCCCCTTGAGAAGCCCCTTGAGAAGCCCCTTGAGAAGCTTCCCGGGCCCCGACTGCCGCGTTCGCGTTACTGACCGCAAAGCCTTCCGGCAGGTTGTGCAACGTCATGGTGACCGCCATAAGGACACCCAGGCGGAGCATGCGGCCCCCCCGAGGGCCCCGCACTCCCTTTCCCGTCGCCAGCGCCGCCGCCGCCGCGGAGGAGGAGGAGGCAGAGTTGCTCCCGCTGCCGATGAACAGCGCGCCATCGCTGCCTGCAGTGGCGGCAGCCCCGAAACCAGCCACCGCACCACCGCTGCCTGCACCCGCACCGCCGGCGGCGCCGCCGCTGCCCAGGGCTATAAGGCCCTCCATCTGCAAGGCTGTGCTGCTGCTGCTGCCGCCGCCGCCCATGGTACATGTGCCTCCCAGCCCTGGCGCCGCGATCGCCGCCATTCCTGCTGCAAAAGACGGCTGCCGTTCGACGTTGGCCTTACGCGCCAGGCCGCCACTGCCACCGCTTGTTGCCGTTGCCAGCAGTACCGATGTCGACGATGCTCCTGCGCCGCCGCCGGCCGCGGCTATCCCAGCACCGCCGCATCCTCCTTGCGCTAACGTGGTCGTCGTACCATAGCATCCTGCGCCGGCCGTAGTCACCTTGCGTTGCGAGGCTGCGGCCGCCTCAAATAATTTGGATCGCGCCATGACATAATGGGAAGATGGTTGCAGTTGCAAGACGGTGAGATTGGTCGCGGAATCCTGGGGGGGGGGCCGCCATGCTGAACACACACTCTCCCTCACACACACACACACGGCTGGTAACAGTGCTTGGGCGTGTATCCAACTGTTTTCGAAATCTAGCCTGCCGCACTCCCCTGCCCTCGCTTGCATCTTAGACCCAAGAGACGGAATGCTTTGTGGGTCAGCTGGAGGTGGGTGCCATGGGTCCCCTTCGATTAGGCAGCTCAGGTTGCTGAAGGCCTTGGAGCTCCTTAAAAGGTTTGTGCTGATGTGGGTCAACCGTTTTTCTGGTACGGTTGTACGATTTGGTATATTTGTACGATTCGGTATGGTTGATTTGGCTTCCAAATCCGCGATAATCGCGGGGGCGAGCTGGGTGTGGAAAAAGCCGATGAGGAAGAGATGTCGCCGGGAGGTGCAGGGGACAAGGAACACGATTACTGCAAGACCTTCCCCCAGGTCAGCGCCTTTCCCAAGAAGCTATAACCCCCCAAAAGTCCTCAGAGCTCGCGTTCACAGACCCGCAGCTCAGCCTCCACCCCCTGGTCCGTTGGGTGAGTAGTTTGCGGACAACAAACATGGGCAGTTGCTTCAGCTGCTTTGGGCAGTTCAGCAGTCGACTATCTTGATGCATCTTGCAATCTTGTAATTGTCCTCCCTTGCTGCCCGCTCACCTCCGTGGCTCGACCTCTCTGTGTCGCTGCTGGAGTGCTGTGGCTGCTGCTGCTGTTGCAATAGCTGGAAAAACGCTTCGTGGTCGTCCAGGTCGTCCTGTTTCTGGGCAGGAGAGGAGAGAGGGGACCAGAGGAGCAACTGGGCAGGAGAGGAGAGAGGACCAAAGGGCCGACGGGAAAGGGTTCTGCCCCCCAGGAGGGACAACAGAATCGGCGTAATATGCTCTTGCCCCGAGGGGGAAACGTATGAGGTATCGTTTAGGGAGAATGTGAGGACTGGATGGAGACCTGCGCCGACGTTGGATGGGCCTTTACCTTGATATGGTCATGATGCTCGTCCATTTTTGGGAATAACGGTTCCAGCATGTAGTACGCCAGAGCACCGGACATAGCAGCAGCCAGGATAAGAAAGGGATCCCCCGCCCCGGACATGGCGTTCTTGGCGACAAGCTCAACGCAGCTAACGGTGGCCATCACGCCGAGTGCAATTCCCAGCAGTGCAGCCATTGAGCTCGCGTTAGGCTTACGGACAACCTGAAAGCGCGGGAATGTGTTTTACCATATGAGGCATTGGCCGCGAGGAAGTGGGCAGAACAGGTGCTTCCCAGACTCCTTTGGCATAAAAGACTTTCATGACATCAAGCCATTGTACAAGCTGTGAAAATAGTGTGTTTGCCTCTCTGCCAACTCCATCCAACTCACGGCGACGATTGCACCCAGGCTGGTCGAGAGTCCTGCCATCGTTGCCAGAGCTAATGGCCACCAAGCATCTGATAGCTTAAGCATGACGGAACCACCGAGTGCTTTGCCTGTACTGATTACTTAAGCGTCCAGGTTTGAAATCATAAGCAGGCAAGCCAATCACAGATCAACAGATAGCGCAGCTTGTCCATCTCAAGCGACTCAAGAATTGCGCAGCTTGTTAATTAGTTCCCGTAAAGAGGAGATGCCCCACCCCATACTGATATCATTGACAGATTTCGCAATCACTATGCAAGTTTAATCGTTACAAGAAGCAAAAGCGAGATAATCACGAGGATTTTGCTCTTGCGAAAGTATCTGCCCTTGGATCCTTGTACGACACAAAGCCTCACAAAACTCGAGTCTCAACCAGTACGATATGGTTCAACGTGCCTGGCCGTTACGTCCTGCTAAGAAACCTTCCCACAGTACCTGCACTGATGCATTCGGCACGAAATCCTTGGCCTTCCGAGCAGGCAGTATTCCGCATCCCCCAACCCTCCCCAACGGGCCGGAAGCAGCGCAACTGAAACGGGTAGCCAAAAAAGATCACCACGCAGACTACGACGCAGACACGCAGACCCTAGCCCCAATCTCATTGGCCATAAAGTCTCAGCAACTATAGATCTGCGCTTCCGGGTTTCTAGACTTCACTGTAACGGCACAGACGATAGAATAATGTAGGCCCGAAACGATCGACAGCCATACAGCACCCAACAACCAACATCTGAGCCTTATGGCATTATGGGTCACCTTCTAAATCTGCAAATGACCAAGGCCGTTTGGCAACTGTCCACTGTGTGTCGTGGTATGTGGTATTGTAGACTGGAGTGGACCAGCTACCCAAGTAGGCAGCCAAATGCTTCCTTCCCTTCCCTGACGTTCAATTGGTGTGTACGGCCTCGGCTTTTTCCGTCATAACAAAAACGCAGCCCAGCGCAGCGGCGCGAACTTCGTTAGGTTACCTAAGTTTGCGCGCCCAGACGGAAAAACACCCTACGTAGAAACCAGAGTCTTATCCACTGAATAGCTCGAGCCGTAGCAGTCCGCGGCAGTCCGCGGCAGTCCGCGGCAGTCCGCGGCCGCATAATGGGCCTGTTTGTGGCCTTTCGACTGGGCGCTCATCGGACAGCTGGGCAGTTAAGCTGTTACGGTTGCTTTTTTTAACAATCCTTGCTTCAACAATTGTTGGGTAGATTTTCCATCCTATGTTCGGTAGCTAGCTGGTCCACGAAATATAATTTCAACCGTTTCGGTCTGGTCTGGTCTAGCTGAGAGGGTTCGCACGTTGCAGGGCTGCATTTCCAGGCTTTTGCCCAGACGACGCTGTGATGTGAGTTGACGGAGGTCGCTCCCAGATGAGCAAGTATGAGCAGAACATGCCGAACAACTGAGATTCCGAAGCACCCCGAAGCAATCGAGGCCGCCGAAACGAGCGCGCGCATTATCGCGAAAGGTTGGAAGACCAAACGTTGTCGGAGAGTTACCGACCAAGAATCCAAATTGAGTAGACACGTGCCGAGTCATCTCCCTTCCTAACTCTACGTGTTTCACCGCACGTCATGAGGCAGCGAGTTCACGCAACTGCGGAAAAATACAAAGTCACCTTGAAGCCCAGGCGGGATGCTATCTGCTGAACCAAAGTAGTAATCCAGGTGACACTCCCGCGTAACCCAGAGGCGCAATAGCACCTTGCAAGTACACTTCAATGTCTAAGGCGGAAACACGTCAACGGATTGGCAATTGAAGCCTTTATTCGAAGTCCTTTCCTTGGCTCCTATCCCTATCCAGCCAGAGCGCCAGTGATGAGCGAAACAGTACGAAAAAACCTCGTAACCAGCGAAACAGCACTTTGCACCAGCACACTGAACTTACGTGTATTTCATTAAATTGAATTCCGAATATCCATGAGTTTTTGCGGTCCAGCATTTCAGCAAGGAACTCCACCTCTGGTGTAATTGCCAGTAACTCGGCCAGTAACTCGGACTCCTTGGCTCAAGGCACGACTGGGTTTTGATTGTATAAAATGGGGTTCTCGATCGGACTGATAAATTAAGAAGCTCTTTTTGCACATGGACGCAAACCGACGCGAACGTACGAAAGAGTCCTCAATGCCTCCAGAAAACTCAATGCCCAATGATGAACTTTATTCTTCAATGCAGCAGTTACCTAATTTAGAGTAAATCTGAGTCAACAACCGTGCAACGACAGCATCAGGCGAGAAAATGCTGCCGTCGTGTACAAGCGCGTCTCCCATGGAAAATAATTAGCGGAGAGTTTTAAGGAATGTATAGAAGCGTCAGGGGCGACGTCTCAAAAATGTGCCGAAGGATGACAATCGATGTATGGCGTTGTTGTTAAGGCGACATTTTCTATATTTATATCAGAGGAAAATCAACCCTGCAAGCTTCTGTTAGGCATGTGGTGCAGAAAGATTATGATCTCAAAAAGTAACTATGCTGCCGTAAGATGTGATGACGTGACCCAGAACTTTTGCCGAATGCGGCACATGATGCTGATTGGAAGCATCCTATGGATTGTATCAGTCCAAGGTATTATATTAGAGCATTTGCTGGGATTGTGTTCAGATAATAGCCGTAGACTCGTTAGTCATAGAAATGTTTTCAGCTGACACATGACCTATGGCTGAGTAACTGGTGCCTATTCTACATGCTGATCCAGCCGTGGCTCTCTCCAGCTTCGCACTCGTCTGCGTCGCCCGCTGGTTCGTCCACGCGACGCTGAGAAGACAGAAAAAAGGCGTATTTAACCCTTTCTGACACGCAGAAGGTAGCAGGTAAGTGCCAATCGCATGTATAACGCCTCATTCTGTCATCGCGGCGCGGCTGTAAGCGGTGGTAGAGTCTCGTACTTGGCCAAACGGGCGCAACGCGCCGTGTCGTGTGACACTCTGGCATACCCATAGGAAACTGCGTACATGCGATGGCTAAGCTGGTTCTCATGGACATTACACCTGGCTCGCCATGGAGGGGTTGCTTGACGTTGCATGGTGCGAGGTTCCTTGATGTACAGGTATTGTGGCAGTGGACAGTAGGGTTGATTGAGGCCGTTGGGTCTTGCATTTCGGCCCTCTGTCCACGAGGATGAGGGTTCCAACGGTTGTTCTTCCTATCTTTTCCCTAACGGAATCCGTCAATCGGATGCTTCATCAATCTACAGCGAACATCGTAGATGGCGTGGCTGGGAACTTCGCTAGCCCTCACGCCTGTATACGCGCCTATCTACTCTCGTTCCACAGCGAAAGCGAGCGAGTAATCGACACCGCCGGTGCGTTCTGGATGAAATAATAATTTCCATTCAGGTTCACCGCTTGCTGGAACCCTCTAGAGGACGGCTACCGGCGAGGATTTCGTAACCTCGCTGCGCGCTACAGAAAGGTTTCCCTGGGGCCTGCACGTTTGTGGTGTCCGGGCCACATAACAAGAGTCGGATGGGGCATGAGATTCACACAATTCTGGGGGGGGCCATTATTGAGCTGTTGTGCCAGCGTCAAAGCAAATGTTCTTGCACCTGATCGATCCGGCCCAATACCGTGTACTGTTCCGCGTGGCGATTTGTTTCGTTTTGCGTAGCTGGCGCTGCGGAGGAGTGCGGAGCACCACCCAACACGTCCTGTCCCACAGCTGTATGGATCGATGCTGGTCCTTCCTGTCACCAGCGCCCGCGGGGGCTGGCTGTGGGACTGGCTGTTGGATGGCATAGCCGGAGAGGAGCGTGGAGGATTGGGTGTGTTTCCTTGGGGTAATTCAAGAGCAGGGCGCTGAAGAGTGCAAGTCGACCACGCGCCACACAAGTTTCTCTCCCAGAAAGGAAAGAAACTGGCTTAGCATGCATGTTATGGAGGCCATGGAACTTCGCGTTTTCGTGTCTGCTTTCATCACAGCGTCTGGAAGGGTTTCGGACGACATGCACCTCTTTATTAAGCCATTATCCATGATGAAAAGCAATCGAAATATTCTGTTGCAATTAGAAAGTGTGGGCGCTAAAAGTGTGCGTGCTGGAAACGGAGAGAATGCCTAATTCGGGTATGAAGGGCGGCATGCTGGTCCCAGGGGGGTCACGACCTTTAACTTTTGCTGCGCTTGCTTGTTTTCAAAGCATGGCCAAATGAAATCAAGCATAGCACAAAACAAGGAAAAGATGCAGCTGATCGTAGCCGTTTTTTCGCCACGTACGTTCCGGAAGAATTATGTAAGAAAAGTATTGAATTGAACTAGTGTCGTCAATGTCAAGCGTCCAACACGTTATGCTGTTATTCGCCGGTTACGAGCTGAAGGTCAGCCTGTGAGGACCCACTGTCAAGCGATGATTCATTTTAACACTGGATGGCATACCCTACCGCATGGCGACTATTTGAGGGCATAAAAGGACGCAGCCGGGAGGACACCCTGAGAGTACGGCAGGTGACCTGTAACCGTGTGTCGAGCACAGATGGACTTTTTCTGGGCTGGGTAAACCAGTTTTCAAGAAGCAAATGTTTGTTGCTATTGCCCTGTGTTTCTTAAGCACATGTGCTGGGTGGTCGGGCCACGAAAGTCGTCGCGATTAGGACCGCCATCTTCGCATAGATGTTGCCATTTTTGCAAATGAGATTCGCTTCTCCTAATGTCTGGAAACTGGCTTAAAACGTGACTACTCGGGCAATGGGCGGATTGTGATTCTGCATTCGCTGTACAATTTCCTGTGGCCCATCCGTTTAGGTGTACTTGAATAGCGGTGAGACTATCTACTCCGTATAGCAATTCGTGATATGGGCACCATGACGGCCCCTGTTGGCCCAACCTTCTTGAGCGTTCCCCTGGATGTCCTCGTCAATCGAGACCTCGACAAGAATGGACGCGAGTTGCTTGAAACCCTTCACAAGACATCCGCTGCTACATCTACAACTGTCTCTGCGGACATGCTGCTAGAGCCCGCCAGCAAGAAGCAAAAGTTACAAAGCGAACCACCGGTGGACAGCGCAGAGGCTGCCCTCCTGCGAGCCGGCCGCAAGAAGCCACCTTGGACTCCTACAGAGCAGGCTGTTGTCGCTATCAAGCATTGCGAGCTGGGGAACAGGTGAGGCCGGAGCACGGAGTGCGCTTGTCGCTCAAGGCGGGCACAAACTCATGACGGTTTGCCTTTGTGACCTGCAGATGGACTCAGATTGCTGCATATCTGCCCTTGAGATCCGAGAATGATGTTAAAGTAGGTTCCGGGTCAAGCCGCTCCGGCGTCCAGCCATGGGCGTTCTCTTACGCGTGACGCCAAACATGGGTTACAAGGATGCTCCAGATACTCAACTTCCTTGCTTGATCGCATACAGAATGTGCGCGCGTCTGAGGGATAGGGTCTTCGACAAAGCTGTGTGGGCCTGCGCTAGATTTTGTTCAACGTCTGTGATGCCAAGCGGCACGTGCAAGGCATGCGCGTTTCCTAAGTATGCTTATCACTATCATGCTGCGGCGCTTTTGGTTGGGGGCCCCTGGCATTGCATAAAGCTGGGGAACGGGACGCGAGGACGCGACTTCGTTGGCCGCCACGAGGGTTTCAATCTCGTAAGCATTGGTATTTGGCACTGCTATACATACTAATTTCTAGCGGTGGCATCTCCATTGGCTTCAGTCGGGACTTTGCGGCGTTACTGTTTCTGAGCATTTCTCTCCGTTCGCAACGTCGGCGTCTATCAACGCTTGTATTCCCACAACTGGTCCTTCTAGGTCCCTAGAAACCTTTTAGGTTTTTTGCCACATGCTTGTTCAACTCGGTGCTTGACCAGGAGCGGTGCGTAACCAAATGACCTTGGACCTCGCACTGAGGGACCCACCAAGACAACCGCCTCCCGTGCCTTGAACCGCAGAACATCTGGCATTCAACGCTGCGATGCAAGGACACGCAGAAGCGCTCGTTCCTGCGTACGTATGCCCTCGCCGTCCACGACCATGCTTATGACTACGCCACCCGCAAGGCCATGTTTGACATCGCCGTGCGTCAATGCGGCCCGCCGCCTCCACAAGCCTCAGAGATGATTGCGCGCGTGCAGCTTCTGATGGACCATCCCGAGCTCCAAGCAGCCATGCAGCAACAGCACTTGCAGCAGCAAGAGCAGCAGCTGCTTCAGCAACAGCAGCAGGATCAGCTGGTACAATTGACGCAGCTTCTGCAGAAGCGAGATGAGCTGCAGCAGCACCAACAGCTAGCGCACCTCGCACAGCTGTCTCAAATGCAACAACAACACCCCCAACTCATGCTAATGCAGCACCAACAACAGCAGCAGCACGACGCCGACGTCATGCAGGAGGGTGACGAGCAAGCCGACGCAGCTGCAGACGTGCAACGCAAGCCATCCGCCACCACCGCCGCTGCCCACGGGTCCGCAAACAAGCCTAGTGAACAGTGTATCCTGGATGTACGACGCCTGCTCCAGTCACGAGAAAAGTACGGGAGCGGTAAGTATGGCGATATGTACGGCGACGCGTACATCGCTATGGATCGAATTGCCGCTGAAGAAGCGCTTGCATCGGAGCTTGAACATCAACAACAGCAGCAGCAGCAGCAGCGGACTCACCTTCCCCAGCTGCAAGGCCCGCAGAGTCAGGCTCCCGGAGGCGCGCTCCGGAACCAACCCGCCGAGGCGCTGGATTCCCTCCGTGACAACAACAACAACTCCGACTCTGGCGTTTCGGCGCTGCGTCACTACAACGCAACGGCCATGCAGGCAGCCGGAAACAGCAGCGGGGGTGGCGCCACAGCACCCGCCGCCGCGGGCTTCCCGGCCCCGCCAACTGACTCTCTGCTTGCCAACATGGTTGCCGCCGCTGCGGCGGCAACGGCAGCGGAGGCGTCGGCAGGCGGAGCCGCCGCCGCTGCCGGTGACGCTCACCCCGGTGCCAGCCGTCAGCCCGGGGCTCAGCTGCCAGCAATAAACAACCTGCTGGCGCTGCTGTACAAGTACAACATCGAGCAGTCTCAAGTAGCCGGAAAGCCCCTAGGTACGGGCGGCTGGTCGGGGAGTGGCGGCGAAGAGGAGGATGGAGCGCCGGGGGCAACGATGGCGGACAGTCCTACAGCCGCTGGCGGTGGTGCCGGCTCTGATGTTGCTGCGGCGGCTGCTGTTGCCTCTACGACGGCCGAGGGTGAGGAAGAACGAGGAAGCGCCAAAGCCGCCGCACCGGACGCCCCCACGACGATGTCCATGATGGCAGGCTCGCAGGGCGCCCAGCCCTTGACGTTGCGGCCTCTGACGCTGCGGCCGCTACAGGCCGCAACAGGAAAGCGGGATCGTGACGGCAACGTGAAGGAGGAGGACGAAGGGGCAGAAGGCGCTATGGCGACTGGCGGAGAGCGGTCTGCGGAAGACTCGCCCAAGCGGCCCGCCAGCGCCCGCGTGGCGGCGCGTCGTGCGAATCAGGGTGCAGCGTGTCCGCCTTCGGCCGGGCGTGACAGCGTTGTCGTCAGCAACGGCGACATCGCGGCCGCCGCTGCTGCTGTGTTCCAGCCCGGTGCCCTGCGGTCTCGCGGCTCGATGCCGTACAGCTTGCAGGACGCAGATGCTGATGAGCTCGGTGCCGTTGAAGCGCTGGCCCTGGCGGCGCGGCTCAACACCTCGAACGGCCGAACGCCTGGCGGCGCGGGCCCAACACCAGGCAGGTCGTCGGGCAGCAGCCTGGGGCCTCCCGGTAATGGCGCCGCCGCTACCGCTACCGTCGCGTCCGGTGGTGACGTCGGCAGGATGGCATCTACCGCGAGCGCTGCTGCCGCCGCAAACGCTGCTGCCGCCGCCGCTGGCGGCGGCCCTGGCAGTTTCCGCAATGGCGCCGCGCCTGGCATCCGTGCCAGCACCACCGCCACGGCCCCGGGCGCCGCCGTACTCGATTTACACAACCGCCCGCCCGCTGTTGCCTCACAACCGCAGCCGCCGCTGCCGGCGCGCAGCCTGACACGTCACTCGGGTGATCTTCACTCGCCGCCGCTGCAACGGCAACCGCAGCAGCAGCAGCCGCAGCAGCAGCCGCAGCGCTCGGCCTCTCAGACATTGGACGTGATCTCCGTGCTCAATATGCCTGGGCTGCGACGGCAGGTGCTGTCGCTGCCGGCGCAGACGCTCGTTGCGTTGCTGTGCTCCCCAGCCTTTGGCAGCGACGCCGAGGCGTCGGTGCTGCTGCTAGTGGCGATATGGCTACAGGCCAATAAGGAGAAGATTACATTGGAGCAGGCTCGGGCGGTGTGCGCTGCGGTGCGCTTGGCGGCCCTCGGCGGTTTCTACCTCTCCGCCGTATTGCCTCAGCTTCTGACTGAACCACGGGTCGGTCCAGCCGCCGCCAAGACCCTCGTCGGCTCCAACGCGCGGCCCGGTGGGCGATGGTTCGAGATGCGCCATGAGGAGCTGGCGTTCCTCACACGCTACGTGCACGCCGGCGCGGCGGAGCGCGCTCTGCTGGCCGATGTGGCGCGCAGCGTGTACGACTGCAGCCTGCCGTGGTACGACATGTCTCCACGGTACTTGGGCTCCCCTGCTGAGGGATTTTGCTTCGAATGGCACATTCCGGATCAAGGTCTCCGTGACGCGCTGAGTAACGGCACGCAGCCGCACGCGGCGTTCACAGTCAATGACGACATCTCTGACAGTGACGGCGGCGGCCCTGACGGCAGCGTCGCCGTCGTGCCGTACATCCTCTGTCGCGGTCTTGAGTGGCATGTTTTCGTAGATTGCCAACAGCAGCGCCGCGGCGGCGGCGGCGGTGGCACAGGTCCCGGCGGCGCCGGGTCCTCCTCCGTCGCCGGCGTGTTTGTGTACTGCAGAGTTCCGGCGGCACTCCGCGCACCCGGCGCTACCACCAGCGGCTTTGTGGGCGTGGTGCCTGGCGCCGGAATTCGCCTAGGGGTGCACGGCTGGCGGTGCGGTCGTCTAGAGGAGGTGTTTGTGTGGACCTTTGGCGACGAGACCTACTTCGTCCCTGACGCCGGTATGGGCTGCCCGTCGGCGCTGCCGCTGCGTAAGCGGCCCGCCAGCCCGCCGGGAGCTACTAGCGCCCGTGGCGGCGGCGGCGGCGCCGCCGCCGCCGCCAGCGGCGCCGATCCGTCTACCTCGGCATGGGCGGACTACCTCCACGAGGGCGGCCTCCGCGGAACGTTGACTTTCCTGCCACATTAACCAACAACTGTACTAACGAATTGACCGTTGGAGACCAACGAATATTGGCATCGAGAGCGCGACACGGAGCGTTGGCGGGCTGCATGGTTAGGGGCTGGGCTTGTCTTGTTGCTGTTGCTGCTCTGCTCTGCTCTGCTCTGCTGGTGCCGTTGCGGTTGGTTATGCGGAATAGTGGTCACGACGACGGCGGTGGTGCTGGTAGGATGGGCGGTAGGGCTGGCTGCGCACTTGGCGCCGCTGTTGTTGCGGCAGATGGGGCGACGACGTGTGTGTGTGACCCCCAGCGGGGGCGGATGTTCAAAAAAGCCCTGACGCGGCTTTTGTTCTCCTTTAGGGGATGAACTGGAAAAGGGGAACCTTCAATTGGTTTCCGCTTTTGCCTTGTATAGCTGGAGGGGTGGGTGGGAGTAGGGTGTGGGTGTTGGATAGCTGCTGCCGCTGCGTTTAGGAACCGCAAGAGACAGACGGCGGGTGACATACACATGGACAAACATGGACGGCCACATACGCGGCGGACAATGGCGCGCGGCGAGATGCCACGCACCGCTCGGCAAATGGGCGGCATCATTTGCAATGGATGGCGATGGTAACGGTTGTATCTTGATGTGATGATTTCGGAGGCAAAAGCGAAGCACAAAAGGAGGAAACTCGTTTTACCTCTTTTCAACCCTTCCCCCCGTACTCCTGTTGTTATTGGTGCTGGTGTTGGTATTGCACATCATCTTCATTACAGCAACAGGAACAGGAACGGCACTCGAGGAGGGCACTATGAAGGCAACGCCGGCAGCAGCTCGTACCGCTGTAGCTTCTGAAGCCCTGCTACTGCTGCTGGTAGATGGTGCTTCGCAACGAGCCGCCTTGGCCTCGTGCGCGAGCGCAGTCGTCCTTATCGCCCGACATTTTTACCGTACATTTCTTTATGGACGCCGCCGTCGTCACATCCTCGAGACGATGTCATATGTCGTCATCGCCTGGAAATCGGCCGCCTTCGTCATTGCCGTACCGAGTCGTCGAAGTATGTTTCTCCACCACCGCCATCGTTGCCGCCGTTACGCGGGCGGGGACGCCGTCCGCTTCATCGAATAGGTTGTTGAAATCTCTCCCAAGCTCTCCAGAAACAAATTTGGGGAAGCGGATCGACACATGCGCACGGTACTGCCCCGTGCGGCTCCCCCGACACACGTATATCACGTATCGATCTTCCCAAATCATCAGAACGTGTGTCTCTGTGTGTGTCTGTCTGTCTGTCGGATGACGTCCAAGAGTGTGTGTGTCGGGTGGCTTGGAGAGCCCCTTACGGGGTGCTTACGATGACGATGACGGCTTTTGCTCTGCTGCCGGCTTTGCTTGACTGCAGCAGCATGATGTCTCATCGGGGGAAGACGTTTGGATCATTTTCTTGAGTGCGACACAAAATTGAGTACGACAACGCCGGGGGGAGTGTTTTTCGATGTGTGATCCGGATTATCATGATGATCATTCCCCCCGGCCTGTCATGCCGCGCCTCACCTGCGCCTCTCTCCCTCTGCTGCTCTTGCCTGGATTCATTGCCTGGTTGAACGGGGGACGGGGGCTCTTATTAAAGAGCCTCTTCACGGCGGAGAAAACTGGTGGTCGCGGCAGCGGCAGAGAGACGAGAGAGGGAGGGAGGTGCAAAGGGGCAAAGGGTCCTGGACTTGGCCGCCGACTTGGCCGCCGAGGCGCTTATGGCTGTTGTAGTGTACTGTTTTTAGGGGACGGGGGAAGAGGAGGTGGTGGGTGAGGTAAGGAGTGTGTGTGTATGTATGTATGTATGTACCTCTGTGCATGGTGCAGCAACGAGAGTCGTATGTGCGTCTGAGCCTCTGGGACTGAGGCTTCTCTTGTCTTGGTTTCCTAATCAGGCTCCCCCTGGGCTTCTTCGTTATGGCAATGATGGTCATGGTGATGGCGCTACTTCTGCTTCTGCAGTGGCGTTGATGATACTGCCTGCTGGTGGTGGTGGTGGTGTGGTGTGGTTGTAAGAGACCTTTTGCAGGCGACGTTTAGTGTTCGTGGCGGTGAGGGTGGTGGGCTTGGGGAGGGGGAGCTGCTCATCTGCGCCTGTGTGTGTATGTATGTTTGTATATGTGTGTATGGCGCGGGGCTGGCGACAAGGATTGGTGACGGTGGCAGGAGGTGAAGAGACGATGGAGGTAAGAGGGAGAGATCTTGTGGGGTGTGCAGAAGAAACGGATGAGGCGGGGGAGAAAGCTGACATTTGAGGGGGAGGTGGGGAGGGGTGATGATGGCAAGGCCTGCTGGGGTCCTGTGTGTTTTGTCGAAGGATTGAAAGCTCTTGTCCTCGCACGTGGGGGAGGGGGAACCCCCCCGCGCGCGCGTTTGCACGGCCATCCCGGCCTTTCATCTCGATCCTCCCCGCCGCACTGTCTTGTTTGGCTACTTTGATACGGAGAACGCGGAGGCTGCGCGCCGAGCCACTGCTGGCGCCGTACGCTGTCGTACGCCGTCGTATCCACATTTTAGCAGCGCAGTTGTTGTTGGGGGGTGTTGTTGTTGTTGTTGTTGTTGCCGTTGTTGTTGGTGGTGGTGATGGTGGGAGGTATGTGTGTGTGTGTCGGGGGCGGGGTGGAGGAGGTGCGGAACAGAGGCGCGTCTACGCGCCCCTCCCCCCCCGCTTCTCATTCGCCAGTGTTTTTGTCGTCTCCCCCTTTCCAACCCACCTATCCCCTTTGGGTTGGGTGTTGATCCATTTTGGAGAGAGGGAGGGAGAGAGAGATGTTCTCCCCATGCAATGGGGGGAATGGGAGCGGGTGAAGTTCCCTCTGGGCAGGCGCAAGCAGAGACTGGCTGGCGGATTCACTGATCGTATTGATGGACGGAAGAGGGAGGAAGGCTGTGGGGGATCTCGGCTCCCCCGCACGGCTGCTGCTCATCATTACACGCAAGTTGGGGGATCGCAAGTTGGGGGAGGGGAGGGGGTTCGCGATTGGCTTTACGGATTTCGGTAACCCGGTTTCCCGGCATGATGGTGGCTTTGGTGTTGTGTGCGAGGGCGGCAGCGCGGCCAACGGCGGCCCTGCCCTGTTCCCCCAGATACCCCTGACCTGCAAGCGGTATACCCTCCCTCCCCTCCCCTATCCGCCGTGTTTTGCCCTTCTGGCCCCCGGGGCCCCCGTGCGCGTCATTATGTGCGTTGTGTCGTAGCCGCCTGAAAGCCGTCGTCTAGTACTTTTCCTTCTTTGCTTCTTCTTTTGCCGTGTTCTCCTTCCTCTCTCTCGTTTCCTTTTTCCTGTAGGCTTCTTCTTTTTCATCTTCGGGGGGGAGGCCGGGGAAGGGCCGGAAATCGCGCTCTCAATCCTACTCAACCCTCCCCCCTCGTCCTCCTTTCCTTGAACGGATAGAGCAGTGTAAAAAGGGACCACTCCGTCCTTTTTTCATAGGCATAGCTTTCTGAGCTTTCTGTAAGATGCTGCTGCTTGTGTCGTTTTAGTGTTTTACTTTAGTGTTTTGTTGTGTTTCTCCGACTTTAGTTAGTCACTGAAGCCCTTCACATTTCCATCTCCTCCCCTCACTTGGTAACGCTCCAAGCTAGTAAAACTGCGACTAGAAGAGTGCGCGCCGTTGTGAGCTCTCTCGCTCCTCTGTGGCGCGGTTGGGTATAGTGTAGTGCGTAGGTGGTGTGTTCAGGGAGAGTTGCGGAGATAAAAACACACACACACAGCCATTTGCTATAATATCATGATGATGATGATGATATTGATGAGGATAAAGGGATCAACGCACGGCGGCGGCGGCGGCTGTGAGTTGTCGCGGCAGCTGCGACGGACAATCGGCGACGACGATGGCGGCCGCGTGCTTGGCGAGGTGGCAGTGGTCGCGGTGGTGGAGTGTGACGGTGGCTGCGATGGGAAAGCGGTGGGGCAGTGGGCGGAGGAGACTGACCAGAGTGGATGATGTCTCTCTCCCAGAAGGGACAATGCTGGCAGAGGAAAAAAAACATGGAGGAGGGGGAGGAGGAAGGGGGAAAGAAGGGGACGGGGGGAAAAGAAGGAGAGAGACACTGCCACCCCTGTGTTTTGCCCCATCTCCCCGCCCATCCACCGCCCGCCTTAATTGACTCCAATCTGTACGATGACCGTTTGTACGCACACGCGGTGTAAGGCCGACGTTCGTTTGCCGTTGGCGCAGTAGATACGACACACACCAACCAGTCAACGAACTATTGCCCGGTACAAGAGCAGTTTGTGCGTGTGCGTGTGCCATGGCCTAGCGTGGCTTCCTTGTGTGTGTCAGTCAGTCTGTCAGTCTGTCTCTGTAGATGTATGTGTCGCTATGTATGAGCATAAGGGGCAGGGGCCTCCGTTATCATCGTCAGCAACACACGCCATATTACGGACACCGAGCGCGGTTCCGTTGGGATTGAGACGGCGGCGCGTGTGGCGGATGATGCCGAGGAGCAGCAGCAGCACCAGCAATGTAGTGAGGTGTGGGTTGTGCAGAAGAATCTCGAATTTATAAGGTGCTGCCTTATAATACCTGTCTGGAAACTTCTATCACATGTTGGGGGCCTGTACCGTCCCATTTAGCCGTACTTACAACGCGCAATGGGTGCCGTACGACGGCGGCGGGAGGAAGGAGAGGAGAAAGGCCAGAACAGCAGGCGCGTGTGTCGGGGGATTTGACGTGTATGTGTGTGTGTGTGTGGTGGTGGTGGTGGTGGAGTCCTGTGGTGGTGTACTGACGGCCCTGGGCGCTACGAAACTGTTAAGTCGCCCTCTTCCCCATCTTGCGCCTTGCTGGCAATTATTTTCCCTTGACCTCCTGCGCCACCTCCACCTCCTGCAAGAATTGGAGACGGGTGCTGCGATTTTTGTTGTGTTAGTGTGAAGCTTGATGTAGGCGGCATGGGGGAGGAGGAGTGGAGGCAGGGGGGAAAAACAGCAGCACACGGGGGAAGCTGGGGGCGCGCAAGCTGCTTCTGGTGCGGCGGCGTGAATACGTAATATATACTGGTGTGCTGCGGCTGCTGCTGCTTGTTGTGCGTCCCGAGACTGGATGCCGGGGAGGGGGGGGAAGCAGGAGGGGGGTGTTCAGCAGGAGCGGAGTCAGTGATCAGTGATCGAAATAGTTTGGGGCGGCTTGAGAGGAAGGAAGGACGGCCTCGGCCCCTTTTTAGATGGGGGGTCGGGGTCGGGCCGACGGCCGGTGGGTTGTGTGAAAGCCATGCATGTCTGTCTGTCTGTCTGTCTGTCTGTCTGTCTGTGTAAGAGTGTGCTTAGGTGCGAGGCGGCGTGTGCTCGGCGGGGCGGCAGGTAGTTGTACGGTTGATGCCGTATTTTGCTTTTTTTTAAAGGTTAGCACTCCGCGGCGCCTGCTGAAAGGAGGAAGGTCCTTTCCTAAGACAGCGACGTCATTCGCTGTTCGGTTGGGTTGAGGACTGGAGCTAGGAGCTAGGTGGGGCTGGGCGCGGTCCGGGTGCAAAAGAAAGGAAGAGCCGGGGGGCATGTCTATTGGCTTCTGCTGCTGTTGTTGCTGTTGCTGCTGCTGCCTAACGGCGCCCGGATTTTAGGCGCCTGCCATGCCCGTGTATGCTTTTTAGTCGTCGACGGAATAGAAAAAACGACGTGCATCTGTCGGTCGATCGGTATGTCTGTCTGTATCCTTCCGTCTGTCTGTCTGTCTGTCTGCAAGATTTTATCGTCCGTCATTGTTCCTTTCTCTAATCGTGCGCGCTTCAGACTCTTCAGGCTCCCCGTCTTCAAGAATCAGGCTCTCTTTGTCTGTGTTGTTTTCCCTCCGTACCTCTGGTTTGTCGTACTTTCCGTACCTCGTTGCTCTTCTTCCTGTACTTGTCTCTCCCGCTTTCCTCTCTTGTGTGGCTGTATGTGCATTGTGATTACTAACTGCAAAAAGAAATGGCCCGGAAAGGGCTTTGCCAAACGAGCAAAAAGCCAAAAGCGAATTTGTGTGACGAAAATGTGCTCTTTCACCCTGTCTCTCTCCATGTCGGCCCGTTCCTCATTTGCTAGTAATATCTCTTGGCTCCGCCAAGCACGTGTCTATCTGTATGTATGTATGCATGTATCCATCTGCTTGAACGTCTCCTTTCCCCATCGGTATTTGGTGGCGGTAATGGTTTGGTAGCGGCGGAGATGGTGGTAATGGTGATCATTGGCTCTTTGCCTGCTTTCGCAGTTTTTCACCTAAGCACACGCTAGGTCCCTTGTTCGCTGTCCCATTTCGAGTGTAGTCCTGTCGTGGTTGTCCACTGCGGGATGGGGAGGAGGAGCAGGAGGAGGAGGAGGAGGAGAGGTTGATGGTGTGAACATGAGGAGGAGGACGGCCCCACCCCGCACCGCCCCAAATGACGCATGGTGGCCTTCGCCTTCGCCTTAGGGTAAGGACTTGGACATTGCGGGCTACGCTTCGACGTTACGAAACATCTTCCATGTGGGAGGTGGAGTAGAGGTGGGGTGGGGCGGCGCTAATCGTACAGATCTGTTCTGTTGCCATGTGTCAGGCTCATCGCGGGATGAAGCTGCATCGCAATGAGTGCTATGAAAAAAATCCCATGCGCCTGTAGCCGACGCGTGTGTTGTACGGTGTTGTACGATGTTGTACGGTACTCAATACACAACACACATGCACATACCCACACACGTACACCTGCGTCCACCAGCATTGCAGCCGCGCGCGTTGTCCGAATTGCAGATGATGACAGCCGCATTCGTAGATTTTCGTCTGAACCTGATTCTCGCCGCCGTCATGTCTTCTGGTCGGGCGAAACCTTTCCAAGGTCTGGCGTTGCGTTAAAGCTACCAGGAGGAGGGAGCCTACATCAAAAGTTGGCATCAAAATCGATTGTTGTTTACATAAAACTAATTATTATCTATGGAGGCAGAGCGACGCTTTGTGCATCCATCCATAATCGTACGGCAGCCCAAAACACAGGACTTGATGAGATTGCGTGGCTCTTATCTTTCTTTCTCTCTATGTATCTCTCCCTTTCTCGCTTCCCTCGGTATGTGCATTCAGCCGGATGGGTGTACTGACAGACAGACAGACAGACGAACATGTGCGCCGATGGACAGACGGACGTTCGATGCTGCTGCTGTGCATGTATGTATGATGTATGTATGTACGTATGTATGTGCGCACTCATCGCGTCTGGTTTCCGTAGCGTGCTTACTGTACGTGTGTTTTAGCGCACGGGTGGGAGAGAAGGGAAAGGGTTTGCGGAGGGGGTTGCGACATTCCGGACAGTGCAAAAGCAGGACAGCAATAAGGAAGGGCTCCGGAAGTTGAGGGATTCCCAACATTGGAGATGCCGTTTTTTCGGAGATGTCGATCTCTTAACCGCCAAGAAGCGTCGATGCGACTCGCCATAGGTGTTGGTGCAGGACTTTTACGTTGAGCGCTGTACGATGAGATTCAGATTGGGATTGAGCGGAGGAGGAAATATAACCCCGCCAAGCTAGGTGGGGTGGGAGGGGGAGGGGGGCCGCGGCGGGCGGTGCCGGTGCGGTACGGCGTCCGCGTGTGCCGTACCGTGCCGCTCGCGTCGCCGCCTACTGCAGCACTCTTCTGTTGAAGGGTTGGTCGTTAAAAAGGAAGGTGATGTGGTGTGTGTGTGTGTGTGTGTGCGCGCCTTGCTCGCTCCCTTGCTTTTTGCTCTCGTGTGGAAAGTTAGGATGTCTTGATGGGTGGTGATGACGACGACGATGATGTTGATGACGACGACGACGATGATGATAGCAGCCAAGCAAACGAACCATTAAGTCGTGCCAGATGTCAACAGACCGGCGCTCCTACATGATGGCGGTGATCATGCAATGCCCCCCCCCGGGGTCCCTGCGCAGGTGGTCTATTCGCTCATCTGACGGGACGAGAAACCGTTGTGGCGGTTGTCGTATGGAGGCGGCAATGGAGGGGATTTGCAGGATTATAGCAATACAAAGGCACCGCGGCTTGGTGGTGGGGGTCATATGGCTTGCCTTAGTTAACCTGGTGCAGACTGCGCGTCTGTTCTTTGCTGCTTGCTGGCTGGGGTTTTGCGCACGCGCGCGCGCGTGTGTGGAGGGGGGGCCTGTGGTTGCGCGTCTCTTTTGGGGGGTTTGGGGAAAAGGGAAATGAAGGAGGGCCTGGGTGTTGGTATGGATTGGTGTTCGTGTACATATATAAATATATATGCGCTTTCTCTCTTCATGGCGGCCTTCCTGGCGGCTTCTTTCGTCTCTTTGTTCGTCTGCTGAGTACGCTGTTTGACAGCTGCCTGAATAGCTCTCTGCCGCCAAGTACACGCCTTGACTGTCCGTCTGCATGTATATCTGTAGTCCCTAAACTCGCACTTGTGCCTACCTGTCCGTCCGGATGTTTGTTGTATGCAATACACAAGGAAGGGGAAGAGTTTCTCGTACCGTGCCGTACCACATGCATGCGGCGCTTATTATTACACGCCTTGTTTGGCGTTTGTGGCTGTTGGCCCGGCTGGCGCGGGTGTTCTTCCGCTTGACGTCCTAATCCTACGTAACGCAGCGTAGATGCTGCAAGTGAGGGGTGCTGTGGAGCTCCCTTTTTGTGCCCCCTGCTGCTGGCCCTCCAGGGGAGGCTGGGCTGGGTGGGGTGGGGTGCTCCTCCTGTGTTTCAAGCACACCGGGACATCGGAAACGCGGGCGAGACGCGTTTCCTGTTTTGGCTGCCGTTTCCTGTTTTGGCAGCTCCCTTTGCCCCCTCGTGAAGGCCCCCTCCCCCCTGCTCAGGAGAGCGAGCCGCTTCGTCGAGACTTGCCAGAAAAACTTCGAAAGTGCGTCCTAATCATGTATCTTTTCTTTTAGAACGGATTTTCCTTTTTTTCTCTCTCTTTTCTCTTTCTCCATGAATTGAATGTTGTGGTGTGCTGCGGGGACGGAGACGGAAGAGTGCCGGGGGTGGGGGTGTTTGGCCCGCCGGGGGGGTGGGGAGGCCTCCTACCTTCCGGTCAGAGCAGGGAATGGTAGGGGGAGGGGATATGGATGGGAGGGGTAAGGATGGGAGGAGAGGAGGGGAAACTATGTGTGTGTGTGTGCGCGCGTGTGTTTACTGTATGTGTGGTTGGGCGCGTTGTTTTCATGTTGTGGTGTTCTTTCTTCTGGCCAGTTGGTTTGGTTCGTTTGGGTGTTACGCGTGTCGCGCTCATTTGGCCCGAGTAACAGCGTTTTGAATGTTGAATGTTATATGTATGAACGTACGTATGTATGGCACACGCGCATACATACTGGCACACATGCTAACATACTTGAATGTGCAATGCAAGACAAACAGGCAACGCGTCATCCTCTGGGTTGGTTAAGTGTTAGTTAGTGTTAACCACCTCGCGTCAGTGCATGTGTTGCGTCTGTCTTTATGTGTGTATGTACGTATGTATGTGTCTCCATACTTGCCGTGGCGCTGTGTGACTGCTGTGTATGGTATGGTATGGCGGGTATGGTCTTCTGTGTCTTCATAGATGTGTACGGCACACGTAATCGCCCGCCGAGAAACGGCAGGATCGCACCTCTCGACTTCTCTCGCTGTGGAAACGGTTCGTAATTAGTGGCTGGAGGTTGTTAGGTTGCGGTTACGCTTAACGGTGACGGTGACACCACGCTCTCGTCCGTTGTCTGTTGGCCGTTGCCCACTCGCACAGCCCAACATCTTCTCTCGCCTTTGAAAAGAACCTGGTGGGCCGGAATGAAGTGCCTAACGGGTGCCTGGGAAACGAATTGCTGCCTTAAGTTTGGGCCTTAAGTTTCTCTTTGTGACGCATTGTGCTTCGAGGAGAGTCTTAACGCCCGCAGCTGACATTGATGAAGTGTCGCTCGGGGGATCTCCGCAGCTTAATATTGGACGTACTCTCTCACTTTAGCTTCGGCATATGTCGTATATGTAAAAGGAGGAGGAGAGCACCGAACAGGGAAGCCTGCCGGTTGGTGGTTGGGTGGTTTTGGTTGGTTAGTGGCTTCATCACCCGCATGCTTTGGCTCTCACTTGTTCACGACGAGTGACGTGGACGTTCTGCTTATATGCCCCATAGAAGACGATGATGATGATGATGATGATGATGATGATATGAAAATCTTCTTCCCCGGAATGCGGTCACACGGGGTGGATGGTTGGTGGTTGTGGAGGAAAGGTTGGGCTGCTGCTGGCTTAGTGATTGCTATGAAAAGACCCCTCTGTCCTTTCTGTTGTCGGCTTTTTCGCGTGCATTATATGTGTGTGTGTGATGCGCCATCTCTTGGTTAACTTGCATGGCCTTTTCACCGCGAAATACGTTTTCTAATTTTACGAAGGCGGCAGGTCGCAGTCAGTCATGCAAAGAGCGCCTCGCGTCGCGTCTCGCGCTGTATCAAGATCTTTTTCCTTCTCTCTTTCTCTTTCTCTCTTTCTCTCAATTATCTTGTAAATCTTATTTAATCTTGTTTTTATGAAGACAGATGTCGTTCATAATGTAGAAGCCCGTGTAATACAGATGACGAAGGCAATGTGTGTCGCTGTCCATCCATATCCGCTGTTTGACTCCCTAGTCCTAGCTAGGCTCGGCGCTGAGTGGCTCACGGCTGGAGCTCAGCACTAACCAGCATTTCAGCGTTCATATAAAAAATTCTACAGATATACAGCACACCAGATCAGATCCGGATCCGATGAGCTCGCAAGGCCTTAGAATACAGCTGACGCGGTACACCATCAAGCCGTACGTTGTACGGCATCCATACGCACTAACAGCGGTACCGGTCTTCTGGGAAGAAAAAGCGCAATTGCGCTCCGAGTTGTTGGAGCGGAGCGAGTCTCCATACACCAGGCGGGACGCGATTTCGTCGAGTGCACTCCCGTGCGCAGAAAGCTGAAACCCCCTAAGACCCTTTTTTCATCTTAAACTGCAAATGCGCACAGTTTTTTCTTTTTCAAATTTCATGCCATACAATGTATTGATCTATCCTACTCCGTACGGACTCGTCCCCTAGAAACGGAAGTACAGTACATTCCACGACCTCTACACAATCGCAAGCACGTACACGCATACAGATCGGCACAACATCCACCCACACACACACACACAAAAAAAAACACGCATGCGAGAGCCCCTACCGACCGACTGACCCAGAGATCTTAATCTCTTTTTTTTGCGGTTTTGCCCTTTCGCCGGTAACGAGTTCTTCATGTCCATGGTCCGCTCGCGTCCGCTGAAACAGGTGCCCTCCATCGCTCAACCGTGCAACGCGGCGCTGCTGGGAGTTGCGGAGTCCCTTTGGTGAAGTGAAGGGCCCTCGTCGCCAATGGGGTGTTTAGCTGCGCCAGCTGGTCCCCATCATCTACACGGCAAGGTGCAGCCCCGGGGGCTCGGCGGCCGCCTCTATTTCCCTCTACCTTCTTGGGGCCCTATTAGATCCGTCACACACACATACATACATACATTTACATACATACCAGTTTTTTTTCATTTCTGCCGGTTATTTTTCCAGTCCGAACGGAGGAATAGGTTTTTAGTCGCGGGAATAAAGGTATTCCGAATCTGTAAGGCGCTGGAGGGGGCTCCGCCCTCCCCCGACCCCCCCCGATGAGTTACATTTAGTTCGTGCAAACGCCGGGTTTGGGGAATGTCGCAACACGCGCACACCAATCTCTCAAGCACTGATCGAATAGAGTTCGTTCACCATCGTTCGTCTTGCATCACGTTGAAAGATAACACTACACGACTTTCCAGGTTGCAGAAGTAATGATGCATAGCAGCAATGAACCGGAACCACCAAACGCAACCTGTTTCCTGGCCCATCGCGATTGTATCCATATGAGGAACATTGATGTTTGGCCCGCTCGCTGTTGACAACCGGAGTGGCGTCATTGTCGTCGGCTGGCTGCAGCATTGCGTCCACATTGCCTACGACCCCTACACCGTCTTCATTAACGTCGCTAATGGCTTCAGTGAAATTTAGTATCTGCTTTAATGGCCTTCAATGCTTTGGGAGCTTCGGGTCCGAATGTTTTGCAGCGTTTGGTCCGGTCAGAAACAGTCCTATTCCTCGTTGACTTTCGGGCGTGACCTTCCAAACAGTATCCATGGCATTAAAGTACTATGATATGGGTAACATGTATGTCTCCTGTAAGATTCTAGCGGGTTTGGCATAGACAGTCCATTTTTGGCTGGAGGAATGAACTTGTACGGTTGGAACATTATTTATTCTTAACTTTCAGGACCACGAACATTTTTTAATTCAGAATTCGGAATATATTCCGCAAAAAAATAACGCTGATACATACATACATACATACATACATACACAGACAGGAAGAAAACACACACATAATCACTCATGAAACCACACACGTTCCCCCCTCAATCTTCCCCCACTTCCCTCTCTCTTTCTCTCTCTCTCTCTCTCTGTGTGCAGGCGCTCAGTTATTTATAAATGTGTACCGCTGTATCCAATATACACACACACTTACACACAAACTCGTTTTTAAAATTCCTTTTTGTGAGAAGCCTACCAACCCTCGCTCTAAGTGCCGGTTTTCCGATATGCGCAAAACACCTCCACCCACCTACCCGACATCGTCGTGGCTCCAATTCCCACTAAATACATACATACATACATACATACAAATATGCACACTCCTACACGTACTTTTAAGATCAGACGCGCGTATTCTGCTTGCTGCAAGCATAACACTCATGTACACCTCTAAATTAAGGCTTCCATCCAACCAGGTTTCTTTCCAGCAGGTTGTCAAATGCCGTACGGGCAAAAGATGCACGTGCTAGAATGCCCGCTAGTAGCTACTCTGCGCTCTTGGATTCGGACGTCGTACAGCTGCCAGTTCAAACCCCAGTGGAAACGGAGTTTCCATTTCCCTAGTTCGGAAAACGTGTAGCTGCCAGTCCAAATCTGAATCCAAATCCAAAGCCAGATCCAGGAAAAGGCGAAGAGGAAAGCACCAGAAGGGCAAGATGAAGAATGAGAGAGGGTTACGGCTAAGGCAGCAGGCGCGGGGGGAGGCGGGGGAGGCGGGGGACGCGGGGAAGGAGGCGGGGAAGGCGGGAAGCTCAAGAGGCAGAATTCGGTTTCGTGACGGCGAACATGATGAACCTCCAGGTCCGCTCCCTCCTCCAGTCCTGCAGCCCTACTGCCGTACACAGGTCCAGGAGCTCCTGCTCCTCCCACCAGCGGTACGGCGTACCCACAATGCCGCCCGCGGTGGTTGGGTCGAGCTGGAGGTGGTTGGGTGGCGCGGTTGTGGCAGTTGATGTGGCGGTTGTGGTGGTTGGCCGGAATTGGGTTGGCCGCTCGTGGTGTCAGTAGAGGTGGTGACGGGGTTCGTTGGTTTGGGTGCTTTTGTCGGTTGGTTTGGTTCGTTGGAAGTTGATATATTTGACGATGTTGATGTTGTCTGGTGGTTAGTTGTAGCTGGAGATCTTGGTAAAAGCCTAGGTAGTTGGTAGTTGGTACCGGAGGTTTGTGCGGCTGTTGGCTAATGTTTCTAATTAAGAAGGCGACCAGTGTATATCGACACCAGTGTACGCTGTGTGACGTTACAGGAGTGAGGAAGACAAGACCCCCCCGGGGGTGGGCGGGCTATATACTTTTGTGGAGAACAAGCACTTAGGGTTTTATATATAGCAAAAATAATAAAACAAACAAAAGATTTTATGGTATATCCCTTGGGCCTTCGGCTCGTATGGGTAGTTTTATTTTACAAGTATGGTGTCACGCACCCTCAACCATGCAACACACACACACACACATCCTTAGAGGATAGAGGGGTAGGGGGGGTTGGGGTAAAGAAGAAGAAGAAGGAGAAGATATAGGGCTGACGCAGGGACTGGCCTCCTCGGGCTGCCCTTCTTCTTCTTCTTCTTCTTCTTCTGCACAACTTCTTTTTTTAACTTCTTTTCCGTACAATTTCTTCTTTTTCTTTTATTTTAATTTCTTCTTCTTCTTTCCTCTTCTTGTTGCTGTTTTCTCAACACGGGCGACGCAAACAACACTTTGTATGTGTGCGCGAAGGGGGAGGGGGGGCGTAAGGCGAAAGGCGAAAGCGAAGGCTCGGCCCGGCTGCGCACATGCACTGCAGGGATCGCGAAGGTGGCGACCGAAATGGTTGGTTTAACACCAACAAAAGTCACAAATTATTCTATTTTATATATAGTTTATTATACATATATATAAATAAAATATATCGTCCGGGCGCGCAAAACACACACACACACACATACATACATGCCATTGTAAGCTCACCTGGCTCAGTGGTCGTACGGCATCATCCCCCAGCACCTGGCCCAGCGGGGCGGTGGCGGTGAGGAACGTTGACGCCACGAACACACCCCCTGGAGCCAGGACACGACTAATCTCCGCCAGGGCCACCTGTGCAGGTGCGGGTCAGATGATGCCGTACTTCCGTACTTACAACAGTCGTGATGATTACAAGTTTCGAACACTCGTGACGTCGTAATAATATCGTACATTCGTTGTGTGTGTGTGTGGGGGGGGGGTAAACGTATCGGCGATACACCTTATGCTGCTAGGAAACTCAGACTCAGAGCATAGTGACACACATACATACATATCGACACACACACATACATACATATCGACACACACATACATACATATCGACACACACATACATACATATCGACACACACACATACATACATATCGACACACACATACATACATATCGACACACATACATACATACATATCGACACACACATACATACATATCGACAAACACACATACATACATATCGACACACATACATACATACATACATATCTACACACACATACACGGCCACACGGCCATACGGCGGACACGCACCTGCGGGTTAGGCCAGCAGTGGATGGCCGCCCCTGCATGTACGGCAGCCACACTCCCCGTGGCGAAGGGCAGTCGACCCACGTCAGCTCGCAGTAGCATGATGGGGGTACTGAGGGGGGAAGGGGTGAGGGGGGTTACGACGGGGTCGGGGGTGTGGGGTGGAACGAACCACTGACGATCGAAGCAGATACCCGGGAGAGATAGACGGGTATAGTCCAGGAGAAGAGACAATAGGGGTAAGGGGAGCTGCAGTACAACGTGAGGTGATGTATGTGTGTATGGGGGGGGGGGGTGAGACTGTGCATGTCTGTACGGAAATCACATGACGCAGCAAACTGTAAAAGGAAAATCAGTTGCTCAGACACAGAAACGTTGAGTCCCAACGTACAAAACAACTAAAAAAATCGCCTACCTACCTACATACATACATACACACGCACAGCTCCCCCTCCCCCTCCCCCTCCCCCCTCACCTTCCATTCAGCGTTCCCCCCTCAGCCATGCAATACTCGCGGGTCTGCTGCAACATGCTCTCGCTGAAGTCAGCCGCCACAACACCGGAGAACGCGCCACTGCGAGCGAACCTGTACATGCAATGGAGGGGAATAGGGCGTAGAGGGGCGGGGAGGGGCGGAGGGAAGACCCGCCACGAACGAGTGAAGAGGGAGGGGAGGGGAGGGAGAGGGAGGGAAAGACGAACCACGAACGCGGGAGGAGGAGGGAAGGGAGAGGGAAATCCCATATGATGCAAAAAGCTTAAGAGTCAGCTGCCGACGTCCTTAACCCTAAGCAAACCCACCAACTGCCGTACAGAGCAGGAGCGGAAGGGGGATGAGAAGGAAAAAATAACGAGACGGTGAACAGAACAGAACAGAAGGGAGGGGAGGGAAGGGGAAATCAGGTTTTTGTTTCGGTTGGCAAGCAACGGGGCAATGGGGGTACAATTTGTGGGGTACACAGAAAGGTCGGGTACGATAAAAAGGAATTAAAAGAAGAGACTTTCTTAACGTAACAAAAAAACAAGGGGTTTGGTGGGAGGTGAATTGAGGCTCGGAGAGACCTCTTTCCCCCCACCCCCCCACCACCCCACCACCCCCACCCCTCCGGGATTTAAAATGTGACGAGTAACGGTTCCCCCACGCCCGGCTGGTGTGTGTGTGTGTATGGGGGGGGGGGAAATAAGACGAACCACTGACGATCGAAGCAGATACCCCGGAAAGATAGACGGATATAGTCCAGGATTAATCGACACATACTGCATCATCATCAGGGAGATAATTACTTACTGACCAATAACATGACTTAAGAACAGTGATCTCAAGGGTAGAAGGGGCGGAGCTTCAAAGGACATGTCAATTCTACCCCTGTGTTTTTTTTACCATTCGTACATCGTACCCGAACCTTGGAAGCCCCCTACATCCCCCCAACCAACAACATTCCCCCCACCAACCACCAACCACCAACCACCCACCGGCGGGAGAAGAGCCCGCTGCCGCACGACATGTCCACCAGCACCTTGCCCGCGGCGGCAGGCAGCAAGTACGACATGGCGATGTCGTACTCCTTGTCAGCGCCGGGGAAGCCCGCCCATGCAAAGCCCTGCCGCCAGCCTCGCTCGTACGCAAAGCTCACCAGAGGGTTCCTGAAGCAACCGACAACGACCAACAAGAACCAACGACATCAGTCAACAAGAAGAACAACCAACAACGGTCAAACCGTCACAGGCCGTCACTTTCCATCTGGATCCAAGCTGGATCCAGTTGCTACGAACCCACTCGCCGCCTCCTTTCCCGCCTCCTTCCCGAACAAAACAAAATTGTCCTACTCACAGCCCCCCCCCCTTCAAACCCCCCAAAACCCCCCAAATACACATACACCCCTCCAATAACGGAATTCTTCAGCACAGTCGTTCCCGTTGGGGTACGGCACGGTTAGGTGCCCTCCTGGCCAGTGTCAGGCCCGAATCGATATGTAACAAGCATGTTCACGCATACACTCCCCACCTCCCCACACATTTCATCCGTACCCACCTGAACAGCTCCGTACCCCCCCAGGAACGCTGTTTATATACCCTCTGCCGTACACCGCTGGTGAGTGTGAGATCCAGATAGGCCGGGGAGGAGGGGAACGTGCGCTGACAGCGAACGCAGGAAAGCCCGCCAGACCTGTTCGTTGTAATGGCGGTTGGGAAAGTTGGTGACGGTTGGTGGCGGTTGGGACGAAGTGAAGGATGGGCAGAGAAGGTCAACCCCTAACGGGGTTTTATACATAATGCAAAAAGGTATCATACTCCCTTCAGCTGTACAGGGTTGGTGTTCCGTGCACTCGAGAATTAATGTCTTTTTAAGCAGAAATGGCTTTAATTACGTTATTTCCGTGCCGTACATCTATACGACGCCGTAGCTACCATAGCTGCTGTTTCTCCTGGCCCCCCCACACACACGCACATACATACATACACATACATACATACATACAGAGAGGTGTTGAAATGGGAGGTGGCCCCCCATCTTATGGACGGTGTACGACATGATAACATCAACTTGCGAGCTGACCAGGAACTAAGTTCAGGCGCCGTTAATCCGCTAGATTTGATTGGATGCTGGTGGTGAGTTGCCGAACCCAACGAATACATTCTGAAGTCGGATGGGGTGAACGGATTAGGGTGCCCCTCTCGCACAGGGGAGAGCAGGGAACTGCCTCCAAGGGAAAGAGGGCCGCTGGTGAAGTTATATACCACCCTGTAACAACATAAACCACCATCAAGCTACCAAGCCCCCGCCAACCTATCCAGAGGATCTTCGTTGCATCTCTTCTTTGTCTGTTGGATTGCAAATACACTTCAGTCGTTCGGACTGCCCCCCTCATCCCCCTATCCCTCAAACACCAGATTTTGAAAGCACAAACGACCCTCACCCCCATGTCTCCTAATTATCACAGTTGCACCAAACCATCACGGCCATCAATTATCCTTTTTGATAAAGTTTTTTCTAAAAATTTCGGTCAAAAGATGCGTCATGAAGATAACCCATCCTTCCCTCTCGAGTACGGCAGAGTATGACGTACACCGGAAATACGGTATGAAGTAGAAAGAAAGTTTTGGCGCAATATCAAGTACGACGGATGTACAAAGAGCAGATGAGTGTCGTACTCACTGGGTCGGCATGGAGCTCAAGCTGAAATGTGTCTGAAGGCATATGGGGCAGACGAAATCAAAATCCGTCGAAGAGGCGGGAGATGAGGAGGGGGATGGGCTGGGGGTGTCGGAGGTGAGCTGTGTGGCGGCGGCGGCGGCGGCGATGACCGTCGCGCGGCCGGGACGGCCCTCGTACGACGGAGCCGTTGCTGCAGATGGCGACAGAGCTGCTGTGGCGGAGTCGATAGGTGATGTGACTGCTGCAGCTGCAGCCGTTGAGTTGGCGGCGTGCCGGATCGAAGAAGCGCAGAAGGGGGTGCAAGTCGCGTGTTGAAGCAGGCGTCTGAAGCAGGATGTCAAAGGGTTCGAATGCAGAGGGTCAAACCAAGTCAAAGTGAAAGATAAGGGGTGGGTGAGTACACGAGGAATGTTGGTCGCTAACGCCACAGGGGATGGGATGTTCATTGGACAAAGCTTTTCGGGTGGAAATGGCAAGGAGCATTCTCGCATGTGCGGGACGTTAAGTATGAGTATTTCTTTTCTTGCTACAAGCAAGCTACACCCTTCAACAGAACGCGCACGGCGTAACCCCAGTCTTCCCGTTATGCAGCTGTCGATCACCGCCCGTGCCTAGACAGGAGTACGTAGCAGCTACTATGAGGTTGGAAACAAATAATGGCAGATATTCAGTTGTAGGCTACTGCGGGAGAGAGGCCATGTAAACGCGAGAACCGATGCCTGGGGTGTTGTGGAAGAGATGCCGTCGCGGACCACACACCTCGACGAGTGGTGAGGAGTCCAGCTACCCATCCCGCTCGCCTGAAGTCGCATCAAGGACAGCTGATGCATGTAACTACACAGTTACGCTCCGGCTCTGCGTAAACGGGTGGGTAGATACTAACGTCGCGTGCAACGTGGCAATCTTGAGGTTGAGAAAGGCAATTTCTTTTTCAATAAGTATGCACTATTCGCCTGCGAAAATCTATAGACGGTAAAATATCAGCAGATTCTAATTATTCCTGCCTCTCCAAACGTAACGGGCCCGCAGTTCTCGTCCGAACGTACGGACAGGTGACGGCTTCTGTTTGGCAAGCACTCCCGTCAAACGAAGAAAGGTGGTTGCTTGCGGCAATTTGATTTGTAAGGTGTAACGGCGTGAATTAGGAAATGCGCCGTTGAAGACGCGCCAAAGACTTGACTTCAAGTGAACGCCATGAGAGACCACCGGGATAACCGCAATAACTACAGGCCTGAGCCGGAGCAAGGATATGGTTATCCGCCGCTGAGGGTAAGTTCCTTAACAGAAAGCCCGACCTTGCCGCCACAATGTTGAAAACAGCAACTCACAACCTGCCCGCTGCATCCGCACAAACAGGAAGATTATACAGGACATCCAGGACCCGGCAGAGACAGAAGGGACAGGCAAGAAATTACAGCTCCTGCTTTACATTAATACGCCGTGGTGATCCAGGTCGTTAGTTTCAACTTGTGCGCCACCTTTAAATGCCGCAGGGACCGGGAATATGATCGCGAGCGTGAACGTGGAGACCGCGAGAGGGACCGCCGCCGTGATCGCAGCCGCGACCGGCGCCGGTCCCGAAGCCGCTCGGGCTCTCCCCCAGTCAAGCAGGGTCGCCGGAGGCCCACACTCTTTGACGTGCTTCCCCCAGGCATGGCCCCCGGCGCACCACCTCCCCCGGCAGTTTTGCCTGGAGCCCAGCCCAACCTTGCAGCGGCAGCGGCCTTCGCAGCGCCGCCCCCCTCTTTAGCCCCCCTTATGGTGGGAGTTGGTTCCCATGGTAAGCCTTCCCCCACTCTCCCCTCCCCATCCTCCTATCGCCCTTCCCTTCCCTGCCCAGTCCTCTCCAGCTGACGCTCCCCTCCAGACCCAGCTCTTTCCCCCCACACCAAACCACGTACGTATTCTAGCCCCTTCTTGTGTGCTTTTTTCCACGCCATAATGCGGTTTTTAAGTTTGCATCCGACGATCCGGGTTTGCGCGATCTGGGTTACCTTCGCGGTGACGTGATTTGGGTGGCTTGGCGCGATCTGGGTCGTCTCGCGGCTCGTGGAAAGCGCTCTCTTTGCATTCCATCTTGGCCGTCAGTTCGGCCGCCAGGGGCTTGGTCCCACTGGAGAAACGCAACTCTGCTTCTTTCTGGACCATCTGCGCATCTTTTAGCCATCCTCCGACCGCAGCTATGTCCTAGTCCCTCCCTCCCATCTTGTCGCCTCGTTCCGTTGCCACTGTCCCGCTGTCCCCGTCTGGAGCACGAGCAACCACCATGAATAAAACGTCCCATCTGTCCTCTTCACGCAAGTGAATGTGCCTTTGTGGTCTGGGTAATGGGCAGGAACGGGTGAGGATGACCACATGACGGCCCTATTTTGCTACTTTATTACCTCCAATTAATTTCTCTACCCACTCCGCGCAGGCGGCCTGGGTGGTGGTGGTGGCGGTGGTGGTGGCGGTGGCGGAGGCTTCGGTGGTGGTGGAGGTTTCGGTGGTGGCGGCGGCGGAGGCGGTGGTGGTGGTGGCGGAGGTGGAGGCGGTGGTTTTGGTGCCGCTGCGGGTCCACCCGCTGTGAGTCAGCAGGCCACCCGCCACGCCCGGCGCATCTACGTGGGCGGACTGCCCCCCACTGCCACGGAGCAGTCCATTAGCTCCTTCTTTAGCCATGCACTGGCGGCCATCGGCGGCAACACGGCAGGGCCAGGTGGGTCAAGGGGGATGGGGGACAACAGAGGAAAAAGGTCAGTGGCAAGGCATGGCGGAGGGGGGGGGTCGTGGGCAGGCGAGGAAATAGAGGCCGGGAACAGGCAGTTGTTAATTCATATGGAAAATGCTTAGCGTCAGGGAGGAGAGAGAGGAGGGGAACGCGGGAAAGAGGGAAAGGACAGAGGGAAAAGGACTCTGGAGGGATATGGGGTCTGAGGGAGTGGGGCCGGTGGACGGTGCGGCATGTAGGGCTCCAGGGTGGGTAGAGGGCATCCGGATGAGTGGGTGGTATGCAGCAGATAGGAGAAGGGTCTTATGGTCTTAAGAAGAGGGAAGCGAGGAAAAAAGCGGTGAGTGAGGGCATGTGGAGGACGGATGAAGGTGAAGGTGAAGGGGGGCAGTAGGGACGGTAAAGGAGGGACGCAGTGAAATAGGATGAATGCGTGGGGAGAATGGCAGGAAGGAGGTCTGGTTGGCATGGCCAGAAAACGGGGGATAGAGGCCGGCAGGCAGGCAGGGAGGGAGGGAGAAGAGGGGACTACTATATAGTGTCGGCAACTGGTGGATGGATGGATGGTTGGTTGGTGCTAGTTGTGATGCCGTGCTCTGCTAGCCACTACCACCGCCACCATCAACACCAACACCAATACCACCACCTAGACGGGACCGTTGAACCGCCGGAGGAGCTTTGGCTGTGAGGTGGAGGTGGAGGGTGGAAGGGGTGGGGTCGCCAGGACTGGAAGGGGGCCTGGGTCGGAAAAGAGGTCTCCCAGTGGAGAAGGCGCTTTGAAGGCTTGTGCGAGTACCTGGTGAAGACCCGCGCGTTGCGGTGATTTGGGGCGGGGGGGGTAGGGGGGGGGGGCCGTACCAAGAAGAAGTAACGCAAGTAACGCGAGTAATAAACGATCAAGAGAGCACCG